CGATCGGAGGCAACGGGAGAGAACTGCAAAGATTGTTCGGTAACAACAGAAAGGGATGGTAGGCCTGCACCAAGACAAGGTCCTCGCCAGGACCAAGACGTGACCCGGTAGGAGCGTGTCCATAGGAAGATCAAAACGTTGCCATAGGATGCCCTCGGAAACAGTGAGGACGATGTTGCCGGAGGTGAGGACAACAGTGGCAGAGGCGTTGGCAGGAGTGGAAGGTGGGAGGTGAGAGGTGGGTGACTGTGGTGGCTTGAGTTCGTGCACACAGTAGTGATCCACATGGTGCTGTGCATGGCACAGCTATACGTATACACAGAGGAGAGCGTCGGACCGCCCAACATATTGACTGTTGACGGCACAGGTGTCTCCTTTGATCTTCTCAAGTCTACAGACTGTTGTGGCTGATCGGTGAAGACTACCGGAGTGAGGAAGATGAGGATTGACCGTGGAGTCTCGCTTGGGAATATGGCTACATTGACGATGGTCGCTAGCTGAAGGCAGAGGTTTGCACTTCTCTATTATCAAATAAAGAAAACGTACATCTCAATTAGTATCATATAATGTCTATTTATATATAGTAAAATAGAAATCTCTCTTCGGCTGTCCAAGAAATCTGTCTATTATCAGATATATCATAAGGTGGCATCAAGTATTGTCCTAGCACCTTTTGTTGACAAAAACCCATTGTCCAATCACCTTTTGTTGCAGTGAACAGTCTGCAGAATACGGGGCCCTGAAATTAAGTAAGCACTATGTCATGATCTTAAGTAGCAAAAGGCAGAATGATTCAGATCTGCCAAGCAAGCAGCAGGAAATTAACCTGGCTTGTAATCACATTCTCTAAGAATCTGTCTATAAAAATAGATTAATAGCATCAAGATGATTGTCTAGAAGAAGCAATGTGAAACACATGATAAGCTATGATATTTATATACATAAGATTTGCATGTAGCACCAGATTCACTTGGGTTTCAACCTTTGAGACATATGAAGAGCACCCCCAAGCATGCGCATAACCTGTAGCCTACATACAGACTACAGCTGATGGGCTTACACGGACTTGTAGGAACTCTGTATCCGGCTTTGGGGAATCGAAGTGTTTCCGACTACATGAATGAATTCATGGTTTCGACTTGCATGCATTTTTGCTTGGAATGCTCGTTCCGGCTTTGGAAAACACAGACAGATGGTTTTGGCTTACATTACACTTGACAAGTCCCCCCCCATGCACGCATGTATGCATGCATTTGCTTTGGGAACCATATGGCTTTGGAAAACCGATGGTTGCGGTGTTGCTGATTTCAGCTTCTTTCCGGTTTCGTGGAGCTATCACTCTGTGGGCATCACAAACAAGGTTATGGCACTCTCTACACCACACCACACCCCACTTGGAAGTAGTAGGAACTAGGAAGTAGGGTAGATCTCCTCCCATTAAGTAATTGCAGTTTGATCCTTCTCCTTGCAAGGTGTGCATCAAAAGCTACGGAGTAATCCTGCTTGAAGTCTCACAGCACACGGACAATGCAAGCAGACATCAGCAGTGATGTCCACTGGAGATATTAGGTATGACCAAACATCACAGCATAAAATTGGGAAAGATAACATTAAGTAGTATGATAAGGTGCAGAATCGAAGTGGTCCAGTCTCCTATTATCGCCCTCGTTTACAGGTAAGATTGCCTGATTAAGAGATAATGATGCACATATGACGTTCTTTAAGCATAATCCAAGAATGGCCATACAATGAACTAACCTAAATAGGAACTTGTCACGTCCATGTCCCCTTATCTTTTGGGTCGAAAACCATTGTTATCGTACGATAAACCCATCTCCAAGAGCTTTAGTCTTCGAAGATAAGCTGCCATTGCATGCACGAGAGAGAATTCTTACTGTTTCCAGCCTCGCTTGGAGACAACAATAAAATACGCTGCAAGATTTGAGCAGTGTCGTGGAGAGCTTCCTGCCTGGAGTCTACACAAGCTTTTAAGAACCCACTTGGTGAATACATACGGGGAATGGGACCTTTTGCGATCCTCTGTGCAAAGGCTATTATGAACTATTATTATATATGTTGCCTCATTGCACCATTATTGACTTGGAAGAAGAGAACAATTCTTTTTCCTTCTATTCTATACTTCTTTCCTCTTTCCTACTATATATATATATATACACACACAACCAGTTTCATTAACTTGAATGTGATTTTGCTTAAGTGAATGGGGTTTATTATGATGTTGGAGTATATATGATGTGTTTGACTTGGATTAGAACTAATGTTTGAACTCATAACACACGACGTACAGATATTAAAGTTCATCCACACGGCCAAGGAGCTTAACTTGGTCAAGTTTGAGGTCGCTGTATGTCACGGCCCAAGCCACACCATGGGTCGCGATTTTGCCAGGCGATGCGCTTGTGTGTTTCGTGATTACGACTCGTGCCTTAAGTCACGATATAAGTAGTGACACAACAGCTCGGTTACCCATAATAGGAGGCAACCCTATTCTCTGTCTCGCCGGAGCAAAAGAACAAAGCAGATCGAAGAAGAAAAGGAATTATTCGCTCGAGTCGCGTATATATTTGTAGGCTTTGTTACCCTCTCCAGTTTCCATTTCCCAAAGCCGTCTCCTCTCCCTCTTCGCCTCCACTCCCATCTCCTTCTCCTCCGACTTGCACGGCGGTGATCCTTCCCGGGAGCAACGCAACCACACACCATGTGCAGAAACAAGGAGGCCCTGCCGGTATCATCCATCTCCGATGCCAGATTGGACGGCGAAGATGATGGAGAGAGAAGGAGCGGCTGCGAAGAGCTAATCCACGATCAACAAGGAGAAGGAGAGCCGCACGCCGATGAGGTAATCCGCAGTCATGGCCTCCTTCCTTCCTCGTTTGGGTTCCCATTCCTGAGATTAGTTGCTGCATCATCGTCTCGTCCAAGTTCAACCCACACGCACGCACGTTTCCTTTCCGATGGTGGTACAAGTAGATGGAAAGATTTGCACCTCGTCCAGCTGCCGAAAGAGGTTGCGAATGAGGTCGAGGGCCTCCCCTTGTCCGGCACGCACGGCCATGCTTTTTCTCTGCGAAGGGATCGTGCACACGAGCAGCATCCATGCACTGCTGCAGTGGCACACACGCATCCCCTCCTCGCCCACTCTCCACACACGTAGATGGACGGACCTCCGAGGCCCACCGGAGACAGGTGTACGTGATGCACTTGGTAGTTCAGTCAGCAGTGGAGTCGTCCAACTCACCACTGCATTCTTACTCGTAAGACGGTGGTCGAATGTCGATGTGATGATTTGTAATGCTGCTATAGAATGCCATGCATTACTGTGACTACATAATGGATTCTTCTAACTCCGGCTCTGTTTGGTGAACGATGAGGTGCAGGTGGGGGAGGAACTCGTCCTTCTGGGCCGGATCGTGTGGCCCATCGTGATCACCAGCTTCCTTCTCTACTCCAGGTCCGTGGTTTCCATGCTCTTCCTCGGCCGCCTGGGCGGCGCCGAGCTCGCTGGCGGCTCCCTCGCCATCGCCTTCGCCAACATCACCGGCTACTCCGTCCTCAAGGGCCTGGCCACGGGGATGGAGCCCATCTGCGGACAAGCCTTCGGTGCCAAGCGCTGGTCCGTCCTCGCCCACACCTTTCAGAAGACCCTTCTCCTCCTCCTCTTCGCCACTATCCCCATCACTCTCCTGTGGCTCAACATGGAACCCATCCTGTTAAGACTGGGCCAAGACGCTGCAATCACCTCCGTGGCCAAAGACTACCTCCTCTACTCCTTCCCCGACCTCATCGCCCAAGCCCATCTCCACCCGCTGAGGATCTTCTTGCGGACGCAGAGCCACACCAAGCCGCTCACGCTCTTTGCCGCCTTCGCCCTGCTGCTTCACTTCCCGGTGAACTACTTCCTGGCCTCGTACTTGGACTGCGGGGTGAAGGGCGTGGCTCTGGCTTCGTCCTGGAACACGATCAGCATCGACTTGGGCCTAGTGGGCTTCTTTCTCCGGTCCGAGAATTCCATAAAGCCTTGGGCGGGCCTCTCGAGGGAGAGCATCAGCGGGTGGCGGCCGCTCCTCGCGCTGGCGTTGCCGAGCGCCGCCTCCGTCTGCCTCGAGTGGTGGTGGTACGAGGTGATGCTGCTGCTGTGCGGCCGGCTGCCGGACCCCAGGGCCGGCGTCGCGGCCATGGGCGTCCTGATCCAGACCACGGGCCTCATTTACGTGCTCCCGGCCTCCCTCAGCATGGGCCTCTCCACACGGGTGGGGCACGAGCTGGGGGCGAACCGCCCCGCCCGGGCCCGGCACGCGGCCCTGGTGGGCCTCTCGGTAGCCGCGGCCGTCGGCTCCCTGGCCTTCGCGTTCACCGTCGGCGTACGGCACGCGTGGGGGAGGATGTTCACAGACGAGCTACCGACCCTGGCGCTGACGTCAGCGGCGCTGCCCATCGTCGGGCTGTGCGAGCTGGGGAACTGCCCGCAGACGGCCGGCTGCGGCGTCCTCCGCGGCAGCGCCAGGCCCGCGGTGGGCGCCAACATCAACTTCTGCTCGTTCTACGTCATCGGGCTGCCGGTGGCGGCCGTGGCGGGGTTCCGCCTGGGCTTCGGGTTCCAGGGGCTGTGGCTCGGCCTCGTGGCCGCGCAGGCGTCGTGCGTGTGCCTGGTGCTGTGCACCGTCGCTCGGACGGACTGGGAGGCGGAGGCGAAGCGGGCAGAGGAGCTCACGGGGACTGCAGCCAATGGGGAGAAGGATGAGCTCTCTGTCACCCTTCTTGCTTGAGACGACAAATAGATGTACAGATTCACCTGTAACAGTTTGCTAAATTGTGGATTGCATGAATTGTTGCAGTCATGAGAACTCAGCATATACACTAAGCATATATATGTTCCAAATGCTAGCCAAAGGCATCATCCACCATATCCGAATCTTCAGACTTGCAGTGGAATATGCTGTTAAATTGTCAACAATGTCATTCGAAGCAGCAGAATATAGAGAAGCAATTAAATTGGCGGAGACAATTAAGAGCATAACAAAGGAACAATACAAGGGGAGGGCACATAATACATTGATTTCGAGGATGTTCATGCTAAGAGAATCCAATATGGAACACAACATGAAAATTGAGTCCACCACTTACACAAAACATGAAGCACGAGGAACAAATGAAACCTGCGCTCCGTGGATTATCACACACTCACTATCCTTGATATCCTCGATAAAAGGAGATAAGTGTGGAAAGAGAACGAAGGCTACTGCACCTCGAACACAAAAGCCGGCATGCCAAAAGGGAATCACTGCATTCTCTGGTTCTCATCACACAGAACATACTCAAGAAGCATCGCTGGTGACCATGTCTGCACCATCATCACCATCATCGCCATCTTCTTGCTCTTCAGAGGCAAAATGACCTTCGTCTGGTGCTTTTCCTTCGCTTTCTCCAGGAGCCTGTGGGACAGTAAACGAGCTCGGACTCCCCTGGTTTACTTGTTCGCTAGTCAAGCTCGTAAGTCCATTTTGCTTTAGATATGTTTCCAAGGGTCGGTATGCATCCTGGAGAAGGCTCATCATGCTAAGTCGCGGAGGCGCTGTCTGTGAATCCTCATTAGACCCTGGATGGCAGTTCAAGTCGATGTGCCCCTTGCTTGTTTCGAGCTGTTCAATTATTGATTTGCTGCTTTCCGGGCCAAATTCATTCTCCTGATGGGGATCCAGATGCTGGGCACCCTTTGGAGAGCTGCTAGATCCTTCAATCTCTTCCTTGCTGCCCCATGCAAGCTTCTTATGGGCCTCAGCTTCTTCGCGCTCGGATTGACGTTTCTTCTTCCGCATCATGAGAGTCTTGAAGCGGCGTTTCACAGTCATGCAAACATTACATGTGCATGCAGGATCATGTTTTGGCCCTTTACCACTGGGAGGCTGGATGCAGACAATGCAGGTGCAGCCAGGGCGGTGCCGTGGATGTTTGGTGGTGGTTGCATATGGAATTGTGGCTTGGTTTCCTGCGTCCCCAAGAACAGCCGCAGCAGCCAATGCATCAAGACCAGATGCTGCCAGATCTGAAGAAGTTTGCTTGAAACTTGCACTCATCCTCTGTTTTCTGAGATCTACATAAGATTTTTCAAACTTTTCCATTAATTTACATCATATACATATAAAAATTAAAACTCCTAAGCAAGGAAATGTGCATAAAGTTCAATTGCCAGATACTCATCTTCTAAGTTGTATTGAAAAGCAAGTACAATAACAAAAGTATAGAGCAATATCAACTTGAAAGATAAGATTGGTCACGAAAAAATTGTGTATGGCCACACCATGGTATTAAGAAATGAATGGTCCCCGCAGATACCTACATTTGTAGCTTAATTTTCAAAGCCTAAAGCATGCACATCCAAACAAGGCAACACCATAAATTGCAATTTCTCTGCCCGATACTTATGTTTATACATGTCTGCTTTCCAAAGCATTTGGTTATTTAGAGTCTTTAGACCCATTAAGAATCAACAGCATCTTGAGCATGCCAATTAAATAAAACACCTGCATTTTTCTTGGCTGATTCACCAAACTACTAATAGCTAACAATTGTGTTGCAGCCATAGTGCATATTCTCAGAGGGTGTCCCAAGAGCTTCTTTAAGAGAACAAAAAATTGCGAGAAATGATGACAAATTTACAACAGGTTCTGCTGCAATAGCTGCGACAATGCAGGCTATGCAGCTATCTGCAGTGAAAAAGGAATAGGTCCAACTATTAGAGCTAAAAACATCTCGGTTAACAAGGTTGAGATTGCAAATACTTTAAGAGGGATTAAAAATAATAAATAGTTATCCATAAGGACCTAGCAGCAGAAACAATACAACAAAACATACAAATTAAACCTTTGCAAAACCATAAATCCGAGGCAAGTCCATCAAAAAAATAAATCATTTTCATGAAACTTGCTACATTGAGAAACATGCACTGACCTATGTCATTTACCACCCTGAGGCAGGAACAGCCATGCCAAAGAGACAAAACCAACACAAAGTTTCTACCTCAAAAGTTGAAAAAGGAAAACTAGTGAACCTTCATTTCAACAGCACCAAAACCTTTAGATTAATTTTCTATGATGAAAAGCAGACCTTCATACTGCCTGAGAAGAATTTGCATCTCTTTATGGCTCAATTCGTCAGGTGCAGAGCATGAAGACCTGCATAAGTATCATAAAGAAGAAAATCAACCACCAAAGGCGACTGTGATCCGCATAAAGAAGAAAAGCCCACTTTAGAGCTTCCACTATCACAATTTCCATTCAACTTCAGCAAGAGAAGGATTGCATAAAACACATGAATGATCTTGCAATGATGGTTGATAATTAACAGATCAAATATCATGTGTGCACAAACATAATACAAATAGAAATTATACAAAATGAGGAATGGCATAATAAGAACACATCTTTTTCGAAATAAATGGCACTAACCTTTTAGGGTCCCATGTGTTATCAGCACAAGTCCATTTCAAAAGAAGAACATCCACAGGTAGCCGACGCCATTTTAAGCAATCATCACATTGGACCCATTGATCTTGCTCTCTGAAATATAATTACAAAAATTCAAAATTAAAAGCGTGAAGGCATGTTTTCCTAGAGCTTGATTTTGATAATGAAAATTAAAATTCACTAACAAATATGTTCTAAACTATAAGCAGCATTCCTTTGCTATACAAGTATAGCTTTCTTGGCTCCTATATTAACATTCAAATATAAAACAACAAGAACATGCACGCACAACAACAAGAAGGTGCAGCCCATGATGTGAATTTAAAATCTTATCCGACACACTGAATCATGGTGTAGACCAATAATAAAACACAAAAACAAGAAGGTACAAAGCTCCAATAATATCTTTCCCCCATTGAGCTTTATCCAGGATAATCTTGCTATTTAAACTGAGTCATCAAGTTTCCTTCTAATGTTTTTAATATTTTCATCAGCCTGCTACTTCTCACACCACTAATATTAATTGACTCCCCTTATCTAACTGATGCACATATAGGTCTTCTATATATATTACCATGCCTCTTAGAAGGTTTTTCCTTGTTTTTATCCACAATTTTGTCTATCCCTATATATATATATATATATATATATATATATATATATATATATATATATATATATATATACACACATCAGTGATTTAAAAAGCGCTAGGCGCCAAAAGGCGCTAAGGTCCAAAAACGCCCGAGGTGCTAGGCGCTCGCCCGAGCGAAGCGAGACGCTAAAATATAAAAATATATAATATAATTAATAAATATAATTATTTAA